CCTTAAAAATCAAATGTCGACATTAGATCCCCATTTACACACTCACAAAGTTTGAAAAAGTATGGAAAAACATTATGTTTACAGTAGTAACTAGTCGTCTTTAATTATAAAACTAACATACCCTGTAATAAAATATTTCAAAAAACATATTGTAAGCAGTGCATGTTTTGTGCGTCAGGACTTGCCTGTTAGATAAGCAAAACTTTAAGACATGCACTGCCAGTGAAATAACAACAATCAGTTTAAACAGAGAGCAAAACATTTTTCTTTAAAGAAACACTATAGGGTCAGGAACAAAAACATGTACAGTGAGGGGAAAAATAGTATTTGATCCCCGGCTGATTGTGAACTTTTGCCCACCTTTAAAGAAATGATCAGTGTATATTTTTAATGGTAGGTGTATTTTAACAGTCAGAGACAGAATAACAACAAAAAAAAAAATCCAGAAAAATGCATGTAAAAAAAAAAATAAAAAAAAAAATAAAATAAAAAAAGTTATACATTAATTTGACGGTCAATGAGTGAAATAAGTATATGACTCCTTTAACTTAGTACTTGGTGGAAAAACCCTTGTAGGCAATCACAGAGGTCACACGTTTCTTGTAGTTGGCCACCAGGTTTGCACACATCTCAGGAGGGATTTTGTCCCACTCCTCTTTGCAGATACTCTCCAAGCCATTAAGGTTTCGAGGCTGACATTTGGCAACTCGAACCTTTAGCTCCCTCCAAAGATTTTCTATAGGATTAAGATCTGGAGATTGGCTAGGCCACTCCAGGACATTAATGTGTGTTCTTCTTGAGTCACTCCTTTGTTGCCTTGGCTGTGTGTTTTGGCTCATTGTCGTGCTGGAATACCCATCCACGACCCATTTTCAATGCCCTGGCTGAGGGAAGAAGGTTCTCACCCAGGATTTGACAGTACATGGCCCCATCCATCGCCCCTTTGATGCGGTACAGTTGTCCTGTCACCTTAGCAGAAAAACACCCCCAAAGCATAATATGTTTGATGGTGGGGATGGTGTTCCTGGGGTCATAGGCAGTATTTCTCCTCCTCCAAACACAGCGAGCTGAGTTGATACCAAAGAGCTTGATTTTGGTTTCATCTTACCCAAACACTTTCACCCAGTTCTCCTCTGAATCATTCAGATGTTCACTGGCAAGCTTCAGACGGGCCTGTACATGTGCTTTCTTGAGCAGGGGGACCTTGCGGGTGCTGCAGGATTTCAGTCCTTCACGGCGTAGTGTGTTACCAATTGTTTTCTTGGTGAATATGGTCTCAGCTGCCTTGAGATCATCAACAAGATCCTCTGTGTCGTTCTGGGCTGATTCCTCACCCTTCTCATGATCATTGAAACTCCATGAGGTGAGATCTTGCATGGAGCACCAGACCGAGGGAAATTGACAGTTATTTTGTGTTTCTTCCATTTGCAAATAATTGCACCAACTGTTGTCACCTTCTCACCAAGCTGCCTGTCGATGGTCTTGTAGCCTATTCCAGCCTTGTGTAGGTCTACAAACTTGTCCCTGACATCCTTGGACAGCTCTTTGGTCTTGGCCATAGTGGAGAGTTTGGAATCTGATTGATTGATTGCTTCTGTGGACAGGTGTCTTTTATACAGATAATGAGCTGAGATTAAGAGCACTCCCTTTAAGAGAATGATCCTGATCTCAGCTCATTACCTGCATAAAAGACACCTGGGAGCCAAAAATCTTGATGATTGATAGGGATGCTTAGGAAAGCATTGCATTGTCTGAGACTGTCAAGGAGGCAGATCAGGGGCAGAGCCAGCACAAGCCAAACATACCCTGGCCAATTAGCATCTCCTCAATGAATCAATGCATCTCTATGAGGAAAGTTCAGTGTTTCCATGCAGATGGTGGAGAAACTGAATGGTAGCGCTGCACACTGTGCAGCACTGCCCCAGGAAGCACCTTTCGCAGCCATCTGAGGAGTGGCCACTGGAGAGATCTCTAGGCTGTAATGTAAACACTGAATTTTCTCTGCAAAAATGCTGAAGGGAATGATTATACTCAATCAGAAAAAATTCATTAAGCTGTTGGTGTTCCGGTGACTATATTGGCCCTTTAAGTAAGAGAGTAAGCAGCAAAATCACTTCATTTTAATGAAGTGATTTTTAAGTAAAGATGCTACCGTTGCAACCTTCCTGTGTTTATACACTGCTTTTAGTACGAGCAAGGTACTGTGTACATTTTACAGTTTCTATGCTAACTAGTGGCTCCATGTCAGACAGCCATTAGGGACCTCAATATGAAAGACCTGAAATGCCAGATGCTGGGAGAAGCGTTCATCCAATGCTTCTCTATAAGCTTTAGGCTAAAGGAGAGCAAATATTGCTGTGCATGTGGCCTCAGTGCTTTTCTATGTGAAACATCTAATAAGACAAAAGTCATAAGGATTTAAGACTACACCGAAGGTGGATTGGGCTGCATAGTCTGTCTCAGCACTGGATTGCAGTAAAGTGTAATAGCTTTTTGATGATGAGGGGGATAAGTGGGTATTAATCCACAAATTAGAAAAGAGCACATTTAATTAAAATATATCATATATAAATATATATATTCCTTTTTTTTTTTTTATTAGAGTGTTCCCTTGATGATAAAGTTTGCAAGGTTCTTGCCTTCTCTTTATTTACAGACAATATGGTGGAAAGTATTCACACACCTTCATTTCCAGGTGACAAGAGTTAAAGGGAACTCAGCCAATCAAAATTTATTCAGACAAAAGATATTAATCCCTGGATTCAGGTTATTGTAACCTCTTATCCACCAACAGGGGCCAAATGTAAGTGTAATCAGCTGACACCGGTCTGCTAATTCAAAGTCCTAAAGTCGAGCAATTTGAATCCCAGCTGGGACAAAAGCCCTGTTTAGAAAATGGATAAATATTATTATTCATACCAACAATGTCATCAGAAGAATCTTCATCTGGAAGTCGTATGGTCCTCTTGCTCCTTCTTGTCTTCTCAGAAGTTGCCCATGCAGATGGCTCTTTAACCCTCATCTGTGAATCGCTGACCAAGAATATTATAGGTGTTTACCATTACAATGATTTTATTTGGTGATGTGTGTAGGACTATAAAGCAAGAATATAATTTAATGTAAAATTAAAATGCATTAAACTGAAAACATTAAAATATTACTAGTACAAATATTTCCTAGCAAATCCAATAATGAAGGCATGTTTGGTAGCACAGCCAGCAGGCAAACAGCCAGGATTTTGAGCATCCACACACAAAGTTCACAGGTTCTAATGTCAGCTGTGCAGCAGTGTTTGGTCCGGCTAAATTTGGGACCTCATTTAGGTTCATTTGGAACCTGTTCTGCAAAATCAAGACATTGTTAAATAATGTGAACAATGTCTGGATTATGCAGAACAAATGGCCCTATGCAGCACGAATGGCTTTGCCCCTTTAGATACCAGCCATTTGAACTTTAGTGAATAGACCCATAACGTAAGTGCAATACTTTGCATTGCTCCTGTATTATCACAGCAAGTCCTGGTGCCGCCAAATTCTCCTATACACCAGTGCTCATAGCCTCTGAATGTGTGGTGTGAGCAGCCAGTCCACACTTACTGGTCAAACATTCCGTCAGGTAAAGAGTAAGTGATATCACCAGATAAAGGAGGTGGATTTAGGGGGGGGTCAGTGATCCTGTTTTTTGTCAGTGTTTGAAAATAATTTGACAAAACCCACAGGGATTGCACTTGGCACTAAAACCACTAGAATGAGCAGTAGTGTTTATGTTTGGTTTAATACATTACCTCCATAATACATTTAAAAAGAAGGGGTATGTTCCTGGCAGATTTTATATTTTTGAAGGACATTACACATTTTTGGAGCTCTGGCCTTTTTGTGATTTAGTGTGATGGTAATGCACTCGTGGTTACATTTTGTGACAAAATTCTGCTCATATATTTATTAGGGTAAATAGTAGAAACTTAAAAAAATACTGTGACTTCTGGCCTACATATTGCAAAGTTGCTTTTCTAATTCACTGTTTAATCATTAGATCCCTGGGTACATGTTGTGGGCTGAAACACAACACAGCTATGTACTTGCCTGCATTAACATGGGTTGGCAGCCTCAAGCATCAATTCTAACCAGCAATTTAAGGGATCTATTATGCCTGAGTAAGATGGGAGTTCTGTTTTCCGTAGCTTAGCAGCCTTGCTGCATGTCACTTATTTTATTGACACCTGCCTTAAGGGATACACAGTGTCTAACACCCTTTACTGGCATACTGTTGCCTGAGGGTCATGTGAGTAGTAGTCCACTGGAGTACTAAAGCTAGAGGCTTCCTATGCTTCTAACTCTGCAGTGTGGCTTTGCAGTGGCAGTGTAAACATGGTTACACAATGCAGTATATCCCTTACCTAGTGAGTCAGGTGACACCCTCACACCAGGTCTTCTCCCAGGTACAATGCAAGCAGTGAAGAGGTCCTGATCTGGGTGTCAAAGGATGTCATATGCACCTCCAGGGCCCACGTGTTCCGGGTAAAAGCCGACAGCCACTGCAACACACACATAGAGCTACGGAAGCCTTGAGGTCCCAAATCACTCTTTCCTGTGACTATTTTTAACTGATCTGCTCTGTAAACAATTCCATGCCTCCCTTCTCTGTCACTGGGGCATAGATAGCATAGCTGTGAGATTACTGATCCCATCACACGTGTCCACACAGGGGCAGCCTGGCATATGGCAATACAGACATTAAATACTAACCACCCCCTGTACATAGCAAATATACCATTTACTTAGCCACATATAACATGAAAATAAGAGAGAGAATAGCCAGATCAGGTTACTTTATACACACATACTAATATTTACTATTAGCTACGATACATTGTTGCAGTGTAAATGCCTTTTCTAGATGTGTTCCCTTAGATCACTAGTTATAGATGGTTTAGAATAGGAAACACATTGTCCTATAATAACCCTGGCTGAGTTCCGGGGTGTCTCCCTCTGGGTGTGGATGTAGAGGGAGGAAGTTTTATGTATGGGCAGTTCCGGGCTGTGTATTTTGTATCAGTGACAAGTCCTGCAGGCAGTTAGACACATTCATTGCAGAATGTCTGTGTGGCTGAGCCGCTTGTGTGTGTCAGTGAGATCAGTGAGTGCCCAGCATGTAGGCTCTGGGTTCAGTAGGAGCTTGCACTCTCTGGCAGGACCAAGCATCAAGCTTCCCAGGACATTACAATACCCAGGACACAGCACCAGGAGCAGCAGGCAGGGCGAGATACGTCTAATAGACACAAGTAAACAGGAATTCCAACTTTCTCACTATGATTATCTGTCCTGATCATTTCTAATTCAGAGAAATATTCTTAGTCTTATAGTCTCATACCACTCTAGTTCAATCTTCTAGGACAGTGGTTGGCAACCTTTTAGCAGCACAGTGCTGAAATAAGATTGTAATGTCCCATAGCGTGCCAGTCCTATTTTTAAAATTGAGGTGTGCATGTTGCCGTATTCGTCTTGGCTTATTATATACTGCAGTTGCTTTGTATCGTTGTATTTGTGTACATGAGCTATTATATTGTATATGTTCATGAGTAGTTTGTGGCATTGTGTATGATACCTATGAATGTCGGCTGTGTATGGGGGCTGCTTGTGGAATTGTGTGTGTGGATATCACATTTTGTGTTTGGTAGTGTGTGTATGTTTGGGGTATTGCATGTGAGAGACTGCATGTGGGGTTGTGTGCATGCATATGGATTGTCAGTGTTGTTGAGTTTGTGTGGGTAGGCTGCTTTTATTTGTATGAGGAGTTGTTTATTCTGCAGCTCTGTGTATATGTAGCAATATGCGTGGCAGTGGGTACCATGTCAAGGGCAGGAGCTGCAAAAGCTGCCGAGGGCTGCTCTACTACAGTGTGGATTCCCATTCACAAGTGCTGGGAGGAAGTGATCTGAGATCACCTTCTATGTGCTGCAATGCATAAATTGAGGATTGTCCTTCACCACCTTTTCGTATTAGCAGAAATCTTAAGTTTCACTGGGACTCCTTATAGGCCAGAGCCTATTTGGCTCTAGCAGCCTTGAGTGCCGTGCAAAGACACCTCGAGTGCCGTGCATGGCACTAGTGCCGTAGGTTGCCTACCCCTGTTCTAGGAGCAAGTAAATTTATCAGGAACAGACTGTGAAGGTCAGGCATAGCTAGGCCTTAATTATACATTGTTTGCAGCTACCTGCTAGTAATACAAACTGTAGAAAAAAAAGCATTTTGTAATAGTTTTTTTTTTCTAAATACAAACCAGAAATCTACTAGCAGGTTTTTATTTCTTTTAAAGTGACATATTATTGTTTGTTTTGTTGTTTTTTTTTTTTTACTTTTTTCTTTTATGGAGGTAAAAGTTAAAATGTAATACTGCCTCAATAGTTGGTGGCTTCTACCGACCATAAAAGTGTGGAGCAGGTTTTTTTGGGGTTTTTTTGCATTGTGCCTACTATTGGGAGTTGAATGCTGTCTTTGCATTTGGGCATTATGGAGGAGATTTGTCAAATCAAAAAATGCGGTGCTATTCCTGGGAACAGTGCTAAAAAAGGAGCAATTATCATGGAAACCAAACAAATAACTCTAATTTAGCAGTAGCACTTTGCACCCAAAACAGTACCTATTTAGTCTTGATTAATCTTTCCTTGTAAATCTGTGCAAGTCCATCTTCTCCCATTTGTAATTAATTGATGTTTTGTAGGCAGTGATACAGTAAACAACACTTTTGCAAAGTAGTCATAGGTGCAATACATACATTGTATGTACGTACGTTCGATATTCTGACTTTAAATTAATAGGAAATCAAAAGAGAATAACAGAATGGCAATACATAATTAAAACAGAAACACAAAGTCATAGTACACAAGGTCTCGTATTGTATTTGTAGTGAAAGAAAGAATCATACATCCATGGGCCTACCCAGTACCCCCTTCCGCTCGATGGACATTTCTCAGGTGAGCCTCGACCCTCCCTATCCTCAGCCAACATTCACCTCCAACTCTTTATTTTTTTTTCCCTCCCGTCCCTAAATTTTAAGTTTATTTCATTGTGTGTTTCGACTTGTACAATTACCATGGCTGCCATGGTTGATCTAATTTGACTTGCTGAGTATCAGTACACGTTAGTTCATAAATACAGTTAAGATTAAAGAAACACTGCTGAAGGATCAGGAACACAAACATGTATTCCTGACCCTATAGTTTTAATATCACTATCTAGACCACCTGACCTCCTCTTGTCCCTCTAAATATTGTAAAATCTTACCTTTGTTGCAGTCTGCTGCTGGCCTATGATCTGCCTGCTTGACTGACATCATCAGAAGTGGTGCTCTGAGCCAATCACAATGCTTTGCCATAGGAAAGCATTGGGTTGGCTGAGACTGTCAAGGAGGCAGCTCAAGGGCAGAGCCAGCACAAGTCTAACACTGCCCTGGCCAATTAGCATCTCTCATAGAAACGCATTTAATAAATGCAGAGGGTGGCGATACTAAATTGCAGCACTGTCCCAGGAAGCTCCTCTAGTAGCCATCTAAGGAGTGGCCAGTGGAGGTATCCCTAGGCTGTAATGTAAACACTGCTTATTTTTTTTTTTTTTTTTAAGTGTTTACTGCAAAAAGCCTGAAGGGAATGATTATACTAACCAGAACAAAGACAATAAGCTTTAGTTGTTCTGGTGACTATCGTATCTTTTTATTCCTATATACTAAACAATGTAGTGAAGGGGTCACTCCCTCTTTCCAATTAAGAGCTATAATGTTTTGTGCTGCTAGCGACATATGTGCATGCAATATTCTATGTGGGCTGCTTGTGTTTTTCTCTGGCATGAGTAAAAGGTATCTAAAGGGCTCAAAGGACACCTTTGAAATTGACATTACTGTCAATACCTCCTCCACCTCCCTCAAAATGGGCTGTATTCTTTTTTTTTTTTTTGCCCACATCTCCAACAATTTGGCAAAACTGCTGAGTGTATTTTGTGAACATGAGATGTGGGTTAGGTAGCAGTGATAAACTAATTAGTGATGAGCCTCCACTTGGTGGTAACACCTTTTAACTCCCTTGAGAGCCCCTAATGAACTAAGTGAGTCCCACTTAGTAAAATTGTTACCACGGTCATCTTTCCATCTTTTTTGGAAGGGATATATGCGGTTTGGCAGGATTTCCTCTAGTACGCTATACCACATTGATAATGCTTTAGGCTTCATTGGGTCTCCCCAGGATCTATTCATAAACAGCTGAAATTGGAGAGATATCGTGCAAGAAGGTTTTGCTAGTGTAACAAGGTGGAAGTTAAGTAAACTTTTGATCTGCAGATATGGGAACAAATAACCCAGGGGTAGGTTAAAAGAGGCCTGGAGACATGGATACACTTGTAATTAAACTTGTGAGAATAGTTGAGATATGTGCATAATATCCACATCCCATTATCTCTGTAATGGTATGTGGTGTTCATAGCATCTCTAGTAGACAGAGGATCTGAACTGAACCCTTCACCATATCGACCCATTGTAACATGCCCTTGGGAGTATGTATGGATATCATCGATTGTAGCACTGCTGCTTTGCAATATAAGAGTATGTTTGGTACTCCCATGCTTTTTCGATAAAAAGGTTGTTGGAGTGGTGTTAGCGGGAGTGTAGCCTTTCGGTTTTAAAAATAGACACATTTATTGGAACCCAAATGTCCAGCAGCAACATTTCGACCAGAAAAGTATTTTTCGAACTTGAAAAAGAATGTTCTGATCGAAACGTTACTGCTGGACATTTAGGTTTGTGACGGACCGCCTGGCACTCCGACTGGGTACCTCCATCAATCACTGCTTCCTAGTACTTACGAGTACTGTAAGCAGTAGTGTATTTAGGATTTGTGCTGCCCTAGGCAGGACGGTGCTTGTGGACCCACCCCACACCCACCCTAATTTAAATTTTCCCCACCCCTTCCTGTCAAGGCTGCTCTTTGACTGACAGATGCTCACTAACTTACAGACGCTTACTCTCGTTGATAAATGCATACACTCACTGACAGACACACACTCTTATATACACTGACAAACAAGGACGACGCACACTCACTGAAAGACGCACACTCGCTGACAGAGGCACGCACTCGCTGACAGAGGCACGCACGCGCTGACAGACGCACGCACTCATTGACCGACACATACACACACACACACTCACTCATTCATTCACTCAAATTCACTGACACACACACACATTTGCCCCACTCACTATTATTATTATTATTATTATTATTTTTTTATTATTTTTTTTTAAATTAAAATCTGTCCAGCCTCCCTACTTTTGGGATAGCTGGGTGGATTTTTCACCTGGGGTCCAGTGGGGTTGCTGGGCAGAGAGGCGGACAGGTGGGCGGGCACTCTTCGGCGCGCTAGGGAGCTGAGCAGAATGCTCAGGGGAAAGTGCTCCCTTGCTAACAGCTTAGTGTGACTGCCTGCCCGTGAAACAACCGCCCGCCGGCTCCCATAAAACGAGGCAAACATGATATTTGCCTGGGCATTTGGGGGCGGCGTTTTTTACCGTCCCCCGGGAAATTGCCGCCCAAGGCAAATGCCTTGTTTGCCTCGTGGTAGATCCATCACTGACCATAAGTACTCTCCTGGAGCACCATAACCACCGTAAAACCCACGAACCGCCGCAGCTTGGTTGGGGTCTCGCCGTCCTCCACCCACCCTGGGCCCAAGACCAGGATCCAGCTTCCAGTGGGTAGACTAGTCCAGAGGGCATAGCAGGAACAGCTCTTAGAAGAGCTAGTGATTATACTCAGGGGAGTATTGTGATATAGCAATCCCCAAAGTGTTTGTAGTTCTCCAATCCCCCAAACATGAGCCAAGACTTCATAAAGGAGTAAAGCATTCTGTTTAATGGAAGCCACAGCTGGCCTTTTATGCAAGTCCCCAAGCAAGGTGTACGCCCATATGGACCTTGTTGGAGACAGGGACACAAATTTAACAACAAGGTTACAAAGTGTGACACTCCCTATACAAACATACAATCCCGTCTCTCTGCCTGGGAGATAATTGACGCAGATACTACATTATCCCAATTATCTCCAGGCAGAAAAACACATAATTTACAAAACCCCAAAAACACACAAAACCCCACAATTATATCCCCTGATAGCCCTGAAATGGGTGACCAGCATATCCAAAAATCACCCAGATCAGTTCAGAGGTTCAGGATTTCTATGGAAGTCTCATTTTGATCGACTGCACGCATGGTTTCATGCCCACAATAGTTCCAGAGAATCAGGCTGTGTGGCCGGTCTACTTCAAGGATTTGAAATAACGTTTGAATTACCGAACAAAGCTGTTCGTGGATATAGTCTACGTATGTGTTTTGTTCTGGGGTATCTTCTTACCAAACACCGTTTGAATAGCCAAACATCCCTGGAAGGTAAAGTTTTAGTGGTGTTCGTGCTGTCGAGTGTCCAAGGGTCATGATGTTCTAATACCATCCTCTGGTCTCGACGTCCAGTTCCTTTATGGTTTCTCCATTAAAATTGCGCTCAAAGCCCTGCACTGCAGCCTTTTCAACCAGAGACAGAAACTAGTTCTCATACCAACGAGCTGAATATGGATTTGCAGATGCTGTCACTATTGCTATGTTGATTAGTGCTGCAAATACCCAGCAGTAATCATCACAATTCCATGCTTCTAAAAAAGTTTAAAAGATTGTTTTATTTTACTCGTTTTTTTAAATAAAATGAGGCATAGTGTAATATAATGATACAGTGCTAATGGCACAAAAAATAAACAGAGTACTCCTTTAACATGTATTTGATTACAGATCTGACTTTGAACTTGCATCACACCTGTGGCTTTTCAACAAACGTTGGCAAAACTATCCAATATGAAGAACTTAAAAACTTGGTGAAAGAAGGAGTTACCCATATTGATGTGCGGGAACCGTGGGAAGTAAAAGAGTATGGCGTAATAAAGGGATCAATAAACATCCCAAGTAAGTTAGAAAATACTTGTTTGTTCACTAAACCGTAATTTGTGATCAGTTGATGTTAAAGGGACACTTTACTTACCAAAACAGCTTAATGAAGCACTTTTGGTCTATAGATTTGCTTTTTAGGCAGTCCCCCGATCGTTATTAGCTTAGTAGATGAGTATTCCTGACTGGAAGGTGCTGTGCCACCCACCGGCGTTAAAGCCAACCTTTTGCAGGATGGAAGGGGTTAACAGAGATATAACATTTCAAACAAAACAGCTGAGTGAGCGAATTTGGCCATAATTCTTGGTTTACTGTCATCAACTGCTAACAACCAGTATATATACATATTTTTATATTTAATAACGTTAAGAAAGGACATTTTAAAAGCCTTAAAAACCACTAAGGCGCCCAGACCACTTCATCTTGATGAAGTAGTCTGGCTGCAGTGGACTTAATTTTAACCCTGCAATGTGAACAGTTTCTACAAAACTGCATTTTTTTACATTGCTGTCTTCCTGACATCCAATAGAGGTGCTAACCTTGTGAAAACAGAATCTGACTTGGTTCTCCGTCAAATGCTGCTCCTAGAGAGTATTTTATTGGCCCAGTGAGGCGATTTGCCTCACATGCACACTAGCCTCCCATTGATTCGCTATGGGGAAACATTGGATTGGTTGAGATCTCCGCCAGGGAAGTGGAGTAGCAGGACTTAGACCAGCACGGCGATGGAGTTAAAGTAAGTTACCCTGGCTTTTTACTTCGAGGAGCCTATTAATCTAAATAGATATCCGGACACTACAGATTAAAGGACCACTATAGTGCCAGGAAAACATACCCGTTTTCCTGGCACTATAGTGCCCTGAGGGTGCCCCCACCTTCAGGGTCCCCCTCCCGCCGGGCTCTGGGGAGAGGAAAGGGGTTAAAACGTACCTTTCTCCAGCGCCGGGCGGGGAGCTCTCTGCCTCCGATCCCCCTCCTCTCCTCCCTTTCGGCTGAATGCGCACGCGCGGCAAGAGCTGCGCGCGCATTCAGCCGGTCTCATAGGAAAGCATTTACAATGCTTTCCTAAGGACGCTTGCATGTTCTCACTGTGATTTTCACAGTGAGAATCAAGCAAGCGCCTCTAGCGGCTGTCAATGAGACAGCCACTAGAGGATTTGAGGGCTAGATTAACCCATTTATAAACATAGCAGTTTCTCTAGCTGGGCCTGGCACCCAGACCACTTCATTAAGCTGAAGTGGTCTGGGTGCCTAGAGTGGTCCTTTAAGGAATACATGTTTTGTATTCCTAATGTTGTAGTGTTCATTTTGTTATATGTTGAATGGGAATAATCTTTAAAGATGAACACCTCATTTTCTTCATTTTGTTTTCCAGTTGGTGACATAGCTGCTGCATTGCAGATGAGCCCCAGTGACTTTGAGGAGAAATATCATCAGAAGCTGCCAGATAAGTCAGACACAGTAGTATTTTCATGTCTGGCTGGAATTCGAAGCAAGAAAGCATTGGATGTAGCAAGCTCATTAGGATTTAATCAGTATGTATTTCATCAAGCACATGATGGTTTCCAAACATGCATGAGAGTTAGAGGAATTACAAGGTGCCACACGTTCCCTGGCCCACCCCCATTGTAAGCAGTCAAACGGTTTGACTTCTTACCTGGCTCCTAAGGAGCTTTCAGTAGCAGAGCATCTCTGGCACCATAACTACTAAATGGCTTTTTTCATGAAAGAAAACTAAAATATGTACAACACTATATGGCAACTGACACATGCTGTGTTCCAGCTGAAGGGTCTTCGTTTGGAATAGCTGCTGCCAGCCAAACAATTGAAAGATACACTAGAAAGGCAAAACCAGTATATTTATCTACTGAAAATGATGCTTTAAATCACTGCTTGACAAATTTCACTAGAATCTGGAAAAACTTTAATCAACAACAGGCACAACTTACTAGCTGCCCTCAAATACCTAATAAATCATTCACACTCAATAAGCCATGATTTATATTACACACAGTGTGTGGGAGTTGTTCAGAAGGGGATTTGTTTGATCTCTTCTGACCAGCATGAAGATAAAAATGTGTATATTGTCATGGTGACCTGGCATAGTGGATTTGTCAGGGCCTTATTTAAAGATTATTTAGGTAATGTCCTCTTTTTTGTCTTGAATTTAACCCCTTAAAGGACCACTATAGTGCCAGGAAAACATACTCGTTTTCCTGGCACTATAGTGCCCTGAGGGTGTCCCCACCCTCAGGGACCCCCTCCCGCCCGGCTCTGGAAGGGGGAAAGGGGTAAAAACTTACCTTTTTCCAGCTCTGGGCGGGGAGCTCTCTGCTTCCTCTCCTCCTCCGTTCCTCCTCCTGGGCTGAATGCGCACGCGCGGCAAGAGCTGCGCGCGCATTCAGCCCGTCACATAGGAAAGCATTTACAATGCTTTCCTATGGACACTTGCGTGCTCTCACTGTGAAAATCACAGTGAGAAGCACGCAAGCGCCTCTAGTGGCTGTCAATGAGACAGCCACTAGAGGATTAGGGGGAAGGCTTAACCCATTCATAATTATAGCAGTTTCTCTGAAACTGCTATAATTATGAAAAAATGGGTTAACCCTAGAAGGACCTGGCACCCAGACCACTTCATTAAGCTGAAGTGGTCTGGGTGCCTAGAGTGGTCCTTTAAGGACCAAACTTCTGGAATAAAAGGGAATCATGACATGTCACACATGTCATGTGTCCTTAAGGGGTTAAAGGAACACTCCTAACATCTGACATGCAAGCACGTATCCCTAAAATTAGCGTTATACTTTCTAGATTAGAAATGATAGACTTTTATTTACCTTATAATGCCAGATGCGTCATTCTTGCAGCAGTTGCTGCTCCACATTGCTGTTTTTTTCTTTTGATGCGGAAAATGGTAGGGCAAGTCTGCAGCTTTTCCAATCGTTTTTTTTTTTTATATATATATAAAACAATGAAACAGCTGTTCATCGGTAGTTTAATGGCTCTTCATCTTTTCCTAAGTTGTGTTTCAAAGCTGTTGTATACAGCAAACACAGACTCAAAGGGAATCCATGTTTAAAATGGAATGAGGCAAAAATTTGATTCTTTGTTAAACTAATTTGCATATGCCCACCTAGAATCCTTTGTGGTATTAACATCACTGCAAAATATACTATTTCTGTTGGAAAAGCAAATCTTATGGCTTGACTGGTGTGCAGATTTTTGTTTAACATTGTTATATATATATATATATATATATATATATATATATATATATATATACACACACACACACATACAAGGGGAGGTTGGCTGCACTCACCTGAACATGCATAAATGGGGGTGCTGCTGGGGGCCAAATTATACAATACACAAGATCCAGCGCACTCACCTATCCACTAAACAGCAACTTCAATGTTGAAAGATTTTATTAGTTTTTAAAAAAACACCTAATCTAGGCAAAAATAATGGGGCTTTAGTTACATTATATGTTTATACATTGCATAAGCCTGCCACAATGTCAATGTACCCCATTCTTGGCAGGTCCTACACTAACAGCCTTATGAGATTAACCCACTTACTTGGGGAAAAAAATCCATAACTTTTTCCCCAAGTAAGTGGGTTAATCTCATAAGAGCAGACATTAGGCTGTTAGTGTAGGACCTGCCAAAGATGGGGTACATTGATGTTGTGGCAGGCTTATGCAATGTAAAAAAAACCAAATCTTTCCACATTGAAGTTGCTGTTTAGTGGATAGGTGAGTGCGCTGGATCTTGTAATATATATACACACACACACACCTGTAATTATATCTTGCATAATTAAATTTGTGTGCGTTTTCATTTGAGGTATATCTACTAAATAGGGATTTTTATATTTTTTTATTTATTTGGGTAGTGGAGTATTGTTTTCATTAAAATAAAGTGTGCTGCATAATTAAAAGAGCACTCCAAGCACCATAGCCACTACAGCCTGGAGTGTTATAGGGACATTCCACAGTAAAATGTCACACCATTTTAACAACTTCATTGGGTAACACCAAGTGCCTGTGGAAACATCCCCTGCATCCAGTCTGTAGAATCCAGATTTCGGTATAGAGCAAAGCAGGACCATGCATCATTAGCTTAGTGTTAACTGAGCACTCTTGGCAAATGAGGGCAATCCTGCATCCGGTGTCTCCTGCTTAAGCCATATTAAACAGGTTTATTGAAATTTCTGGTAATGCAGTCAAAAGTAAACATAAGACAAAGTAGGGAATAGACCTACTTTGATCTCCTAGACCTCGGTGTTGCACTCTTGCACATGTGTGAAAGTACATCACTTACGTGTGCTCCTGGCGAATGAAGCGCCAAGAGCTTAAGAAATAAGGGGAACAGCATCTTGTATCTCACCTCGGCTGGCCCCCTGAGCTACCATCAGCATGTCTTTGCACAATATTCAGAGACCCCAGAAAGTAACATATCCACTTTAAAATGGTCTGGCATCTTACCATTGGACCAGGTTACTCTTGGCACCATAACCTTAATCCTCTGCTGTTTTCTTGGTTGTTTTTTCTTTTCTGTTTATTTACTTTTTCTGGCAGTGCTCAAACAGCCTTTCAATTTCAGGCACACCCTCTGCTATTTATTACACCCCACTCACCCCCCTTTTTCCCTCCCCTTCTCTAACATCAGTTGTTTTAAGTGTTAAACTCATCAGATTGATGTGTATTGCTTCAGTCCTGAGGAAGAGAGGGAACTCTCGAAAGCTTTAAAGGACCACTATAGTGCCACGAAAACATACTCGTTTTCCTGGCACTATAGTGCCCTGAAGGTGCCCCCACCCTCAGGGACCCCCTCCCGCCCGGCTCTGGAAAGGGGAAAGGGGTTTAAACTTACCTATTTCCAGCGTTGGGCGGAGAGCTCTCCTCCTCCGTTCCGCCCCGTCGGCTGAATGCGCACGCGCGGCAAGAGCTGCGCACGCATTCAGCCGGTCGCATAGGAAAGCATTTACAATGCTTTCCTATGGACGCTGGCGTGCTCACTGTGAAAATCACACTGAGAAGCACGCAAGCGCCTCTAGTGGCTGTCAATGAGACAGCCACTAGAGGCTTTGGGGGAAGGCTTAACCCATTAATAAACATAGCAGTTTCTCTGAAACTGCTATGTTTATTAAAAAATGGGTTAACCCTAGCTGGACCTGGCACCCAGACCACTTCATTAAGCTGAAGTGGTCTGGGTGCCTAGAGTGGTCCTTTAAAATATTATGTTAGTCCAATAAAAAAAGGTATCATTGCATACTGCAATACTCTGGTATTTTGGCAATTTCAGATATTTAAACTAAACAAGTATTTAAAACACTTTTACTTCTGTGGTTACATTTCCTGTTAATCTAGACCAGACATACTACATACAAAAGAGACATATCTGTAGTTAATTATGACAATAGGATAATTTAGAACTCTTGTTTAGACCTCAACAGCAACATGTCTTTTTGACCTTACTGCTTTATTTATTTTGCCATCATCCATTCTAAGAAAATATTGCTTGATTTTCTCTGGTAGGCAATACAAACCAGCTGACCAAAATTCACCACCTCCAATTACAATTTTAATAATGACACGGAGGCTCCTATTATGCTTTCTTTTAATTTCCCTCAGCAGCGAAGAGAGAGATTTATACAGAAGAGAAAGAATAAACATAACATTGCATAGTAACAATGCAACCAATCCGCATTCATCAACTAGTATATAAGGTGTAGCACTCCAACACTCTTCCTCTTTCTTCGCTGCTCCATCAGACCAGCAAAGTACATTTGCTTCTTTATACTGTTTGACAATAACAAATATTTTACTCTATTGGTAATATTTCCACTTGATTAATATTATTTCAAACTGCTTGATTATAGGTTTATTTGGTTTAATCCTCTAGAGTGTGCCCCTGGGAATGTGGGATCTGTGACTAAAGTCATTCTCCTTCCCCTTGGGGGTCCCTCTCGACATCCAAAACTTTGCCAACCGAGGGAAGACATTAAGTGGACCCTAGCTGTGTTTGTTCCCTCCGCCCGCAGGATACTGCCCGTCGACGTTTAGCGCACATATTTTATTGGTTCCACATCGCCACCAATGCCGGCGTCCGTTTTAGTGCGGCCCAAGAGCGGTAATCTCAGCGCGGTCCGGCGGAATAGCAGAACATGGCTCCTATCATTGCTATTGTTTATATTGATGTTTTTTTGCTTTCGGTTTTTTCCTCCTAATTACTTTAGTTGGGTGGCTGGATTAAGCAATTCTTCCCACCTAGATCTTCCTATATCCTCCCTACCTTAGGTTTTTTCATACATGCTGGTGGCCTATACTTGCCCTGATAACCCCACAGGGCTGGTTGGCATAGGGCTATATATTATTTGAATTGTTGATCATCTCTCATCCTTTGTGGAGATTCTGTAGCTGTAACATGCAAGTATCTGGTGATGGGCCTGTCGACCACCCTCTGAACGTCATGGGGACTACTGTCCCTGACCCCTTAGACGATGCCAACATGATCTTCAGAGGAATTCCAAAGCCTACTGGACCGAACTATGACAAACTCCATTAATAAGGTCTTAACATCGGCCATGGGGGTCATGTCCTCCACAATTACACAGTCCATAACTCAGTCATTGATGCAAGGGCACCCTACAACCCAGGCCCCTCCACAAACCTCTGATACGCCCAGCGTACCCTTGCCGGGCCGCAAGGGCCTGAGCAAGAGTAAACACCATGATCTCCCTCCACATATCAAGGGTGACCCTGGTTTGAATGACATGCCTCAGGCTGTCCAAGATGGCGCACAATAGAGCCACTGTCCGGGCAAAAGCGGCCAGACATTGGAAACTGGCAAGGTCCCATGAGATCATGTCCGACTCGGACTAAAGTGATGAGGAGGGCTCAGATGAGGTAGAGGTTTCAGAGGATGAGAACCTCATGGGGACGCAATTGGACGCCGCTCCATCCAAAAAGGCCCTAGGTAACCCAGGTGAACCACGGGACGTTCAGCCTACCCTGGCGTTCGACCCGGATGACATGCGCCAACCGTGCTCGGCTTAATGGGAGCCACCGGAGCATATTACACAATACATGGCGCTGAGGGTCCGCAAACCCCTCTCCCAGGAGGGCCTTAATAAACTGAGGGCTGAATGTCCCCAACCCATTATTCTGGACATGGTGACCAAGACACCTGAAGTCGATCCGCAGATCGAACAATTTTTATCAAAAACCGTCTGGAAGCCGAAGAAGGGCCTAGACTACTCCTTACGGAATTGCCAGGATAAGTTCCTGGACACACTAGGCCCTATTACTAAACTATATGAACTGCTGGAGTCAGCACAATCGAGTAAAACCCAAATTAAGACATAGCGTTTGGATGGTTGCAATGCCTGGTGTGCACGGTTGGCAATGCCAACTCTGCCATGTCCACAGAACGCAGGAAAGCTATCCTGCTCAAAATAGAATCTAAGCTAGCATGGCCACCACTGGACCTGGAGTGGCCGCTAAAGGCCTATTGTTTGGCGAGTCCTTTGTCAAGGGAAGCAAGGAAATGGAGGTTCATATGCCTGCCCTTTGGCCTGTCCTCTGCCCCATGGTGCTACACGAAAGTCCTGAAACCAGTGGTGACCTTCCTGAGAATACACGGGATACGACTAATCTTCTACTTAGACGATGTCCTCCTACTGTCACAAACACAGGAACAACTGACCATCCATCTCACTTGGACCATACACATCCTTAAGAACCTATGTTTCTTGGTTAACTGGGAAAAGTCAGTTCTACAACAATCTCAGCGTATGGAGTTCCTAGGATTTCGGGTCAACTCCATCAAACAAGTTCTATGCCTCCCGGCAGAGAAAATTTCGAACATCAAGAAGGAGATAAAACGATTGATGAACCGCCCGGACATATCCCTGCGGCAACTAGCGAGGGTCATCGACCTGTTAGCCGCCTCCATCCAGGCAATTTTCCCGGGCCCATTACGCTACAGGGCTTTACAGAGATGGAAGGCATCCTACCTGAGAAGTGGCCATTTATACGAAACACGCATTTTGTTATACGAGGAATCCAGGGAAGAATTAACCTGGTGGCTGGCCCGCATGGAATGGGCGAGCAATTTTCAGATCCACTCCGGATCTTGTGATAAAATCAGATGCGAGAGTTTACAGGGCTGGGGCGCATGTTGCGGTCCCATTTCCACCAGAGGCAGATGGTCCACAGAAGAATCTTTTCTGCATATCTATTGCCCGAAACTGCTGGCAGCCTCGTTTGCCATTCGCAGTCTCTCTCCCAAGAACATCTCTTGCTCGATCCTCCTCAAACTAGGCACATTTCCGCCATCCGCTACATCAACCACCTGGGTTGAACTAAGTCACGAATGTTAGCAGTATTGGCCAGAGACTTCGGGCATTATTGTCTGTGACAAAATATATCAGTAACAGCGGAACATATCCCACGTCTGGAGAATTACACCGCAGACTGGAACTCCCGTTACATGAAGGACATGGGGGATTGGAAACTTCGGCCGTCTATATTCAGGGAGATTGCCCGCCTCTGGGGGCCATTGCAAGTGGACCTCTTTGCATCCAGACTGAACACTCAACTTCTGCGATTCTTCAGTTGGAGACCGGACCCAGAAGCTACAGCAACGGATGCATTCCTCCAAGATTGGTCCACAAACCTGGCATATCAACAACATTGCAGAGGTACTATAGTCCTGATAACCCCATTCTGAAGGTCACAACCTTGGTTCCTACACCTATTGGAGATGGTGATAGATTACCCACTATTGTTACCGGATCTACCTTTCCTCCTGACCAATCTGGATGGGGAGAGTCACGGATGAAGGACACATGGCTGCTATCCAGTTTACAGTTAGAATCAGTTTTGCGATTTTGATTTTCTGTCTTCGGATCACTACGGAAAGAGGAAGAGTGTTGGAGTGCTACACCTTATATGCTATTTGATGAGTTGCAATGTTATGTTTTAAAAAAAAAAAAAAAATTATCTTCTGTATACATCTCTCTCTTCACTGCAGAGGGAAATTAACCCCTTAAGGACATGTGACATGTCATGATTCCCTTTATTCCAGAAGTTTGGTCCTTAGGGGGTTAAATGAAAGAGAAAGCATACTCGCCTCAGTGTCATGTTAATAGTAAAATCTAGGAATTCTTTCACAAAGCATGACCAACAGTAAAACAAACTTCTACTTTTCTCACAACAAAATGGTTGCTAATTTGTAAAACTGAAAAAAGGATATTTTACACAATCATTCCAAACGGTTTTGCAAAATTTGTTGCATATCTTCAGCCTATACACATTTCATTTTGTATTCTATTTATGTATTATGATAATCAAGTTGAGCTACTGCCTAGGTGCCAGAGAGTCTTTGATTCCTCTTAGTTTTTATGCAAGGAAGACCATATGAAGGCTACTCAAAGGCATGAAAACATAAAACTGACACAATCTAGCAAGGTTCTTAAATCAGAATAACACTACTCTCTCCCCTCTTTCTTTTTTAGAATTTACAATTATGGTGGTGGCTTTGAGGACTGGGCAAGACATGAACATCCCCAAAAGAAGTGATCTGTATTTTGGATATTTTTTAGCTCCACTAGAACCACAGTATTGTATCACCGTGCAGCATATTCAGAGAAGAAAAATGAGAAATGTTATTTGTACACAAAACACTTATTGTTACGACCGGTAAAGGAAAAGCTATATGTAGAATTTGAATAGCAGCATTGTATGTCATGTTTTACTGTTTGGGATCAAGTGTCATATAAACGTATTGGGGCCTAGTTATATGCCAAAATAATGTAACTGAAAAAAATAGCTGAATGAGTTTTCTCCAGTTTAAATGTTTGGGACAAAAAGATGCAATTCCTGTGGATAAACTGATGTAATTAATGCTGTTCTATGCATATACAATTATAGCAAAGAATGTATATTGACTGTTGGGGCAGTGCAGAAGTTTATTTTTTTGATCAATGCAGTCCTCACAATTAACCTCTTTCTGTGATATTTTGATTAAATCTGATATAATATACTTTGGCAAGGAGGAGGTTTAATTTCAATGTTGTGGAAGACCATGAGAAATTTGAAGGAAAAATTATCAAACTAGTTTTTGCATCAAAATTGTTTGTGGCCCATTTGGTATAAAATCAGAAATTTTTATCAGCACTCCAAACTTGTAATTTGTCTGTAGTCAATTTAATCTACATTTCTGAATTTATCAAAAATATCCAGTCATGTATTCACTAAAGTTTGGATTATGGAAAAGAGAATTATAAATTTTAGATCAACATAGCCACATAAGGAAAATGATCTAATTTCAGTTAATCTGGAAATCTATATCAACTGAGCCCATGGCTCAGTGAGTGCATGTCACAGCCCAGTAGTACTGATATCCCATACATTACTAGCTACTCCCTGTAAGTGGTTGAAATTTGGCACCAATGTGTGTTGTGTAGTGGTTTAAAAAAAAAAAAATTCATACTCAACAGCATTCAAATGAACTTTGCTAGCTCCATAACCATAATGCACTGTAATTGTAGTGCCATTGTGCCCCCTCCCATTGTAAATAGTAAAGCTATTTTAGAACAGTGGACTACTTACCTTGTGTCTGTAAGAACTCCACCATATGTACTTTTATTAGCTGTCCTGTAGTACCGCCATGAGCTGACACTAAGCCTGCAACACTGGGTTTAGCTCAAAAAGAAAGCTTCTGGCTAGTAGTGGAGACAGACTCCAGTTAAGAAGTCAAACCATTCTAAAATGGTGGTTTGATTTTTGAACAAGTATCCAAATGATGTACAAGTTTTGTAATTACCTGTGGGAACTTGGCCTGGAACCAGAAAAATTAGTATGTTACCGATAATGGGTGCTTAAAGGGATACTATAATGCCAGGAAAACAAAGCTGTTTTCCAGGCACTATAGGGTTAATAGCGCCTCCCCTCCCGATCCCTTCAGCCACTTGCCTAAATCCAGCGCTGATGTCCCTCGTCGGTGCGGGAGACCTAATGCGCATGCAAGGCATGGGGAAAATCTGAAGCTGGAGTTCAGTGAGGACGTCCAGCGTCAGTTTGGATTCTGGAAGCCCTCTAGTGGCTGTCTGTTAGACAGCCACTGAGGGTGGACTTAGAGCTGCAATGTACACATTGCAGTTCTCTGAAAATGCAATGTTTTACATTGCAGCACTAAGTGCAAGAGGGAGACAGCACCCAGACCACTTCAATGAGCTGAAGTGGTCTGGGTTCCTACAGTGTCCCTTTAATAGAAAAAATTAGTTTGAAGTGGTTCATCCGATCAAATGTATTTTATTTCACACCCAACTTACCTATTCAATCAAGACCCCATACAGAGAGAGAGAGAGATTATGAAGAAATGCAAAAGCATGTTTCAAAAGAGATTTATGTAAAAATAGAAGTGGAAAGCCACCTTCTTTGGTTGAGGATTTGTGCACTAGCCAAATCAAATAATTTAATATTGTGCATTAGTCAGACACCCATAAGTTTAACTGAACAAGTGATATGCCACATACTGTAGTTTAATAACCACAACTATTGTTCTCAGTAATAAATTCCTTTTAGGTATCAATGAGCACAGAGGACTAACAAAACATATAAATGTACTTTTATTTTAAATACCATTGAAAAAAAGTGGTTGAAATCTAGAAAATTAGAGACATAAGAATTTGATAATCCTTTTAAAATATGAAAGACACAATACTTCACACAGACATTCATTTACAAATCAGCCCTGCAAACAAGGTTTGAAAATTCATCCTAAATTCAGAAGAAGCCTCGCTTCTAGACTTTCACGGTACAGATTAATTCAGAAAGTGGGGATTAGGCAGTTGGTCCAGTCCTGGATATGTGGTCTATATCATGATTGGCTATAACTGGAGCTTTGGCTTCCATTTGGTCCCTGATCCCCTTCACTGCAAAATGAAAAAAAAAGTGTTACTTTCAATCACAAAACACAATTTGAGTGAACGGTTTTAAGTCACACAGATACACCAGCTTGGGTCAATCCATCAATTTAGCAACTTCATTCGGGCTTTTAACTGTACACATAGGTCCTAAATTATGTTTGTTCAGTAGCTAAAAGGACTTCACTTTTAAAGTATTCTTTCTTGACATTTAAACTAGATATATATATATATAGCATCACACCAATAAGTTATCACCACCTGCTTTTTCATAAAGTGCAGGATGTAGCACAAACCTAACCATTTCAGTCTAACACAAGAACTGATGAAAGTCTCCTGTGCAAGACTGAAACATTGAAGTACAGTTGATACTCAAAAAATTAGAATATCGTGCAAAAGTTCATCTATTTCAGTAATGCAATGTAAAAGGAGAAACTAATACAGGGAGTGCAGAATTATTAGGCAAGTTGTATTTTTGAGGATTCATTTTATTATTGAACAACTATGTTCTCAATGAACCCAAAAAACTCATTAATATCAAAGCTGAATATTTTTGGAAGTAGTTTTTAGTTTGTTTTTAGTTATAGCTATGTTAGGGGGATATCTGTGTGTGCAGGTGACTATTACTGTGCATAATTATTAGGCAACTTAACAAAAAACAAATATATACCCATTTCAATTATTTATTATTACCAGTGAAACCAATATAACATCTCAACATTCACAAATATACATTTGACATTCAAAAACAAATCAGTGACCAATATAGCCACCTTTCTTTGCAAGGACACTCAAAAGCCTGCCATCCATGGATTCTGTAAGTGTTTTGATCTGTTCACCATCAACATTGCGTGCAGCAGCAACCACAGCCTCCCAGACACTGTTCAGAGAGGTGTACTGTTTTCCCTCCTTGTAAATCTCACATTTGATGATGGACCACAGGTTCTCAATGGGGTTCAGATCAGGTGAACAAGGAGTCCATGTCATTAGATTTTCTTCTTTTATACCCTTTCTTGCCAGCCAGGAGTACTTCCATGTCATTAGATTTTCTTCTTTTATACCCTTTCTTGCCAGCCAGGAGTACTTGGACGCGTGTGATGGAGCATTGTCCTGCATGAAAATCATGTTTTTCTTGAAGGATGCAGACTTCTTCCTGTACCACTGCTTGAAGAAGGTGTCTTCCAGGAACTGGCAGTAGGACTGGGAGTTGAGCTTGACTCCATCCTCAACCCGAAAAGGTCCCACAAGCTCATCTTTGATGATACCAGCCCAAACCAGTACTCCACCTCCACCTTGCTGGCGTCTGAGTCGGACTGGAGCTCTCTGCCCTTTACCAATCCAGCCACGGGCCCATCCATCTGGCCCATCAAGACTCACTCTCATTTCATCAGTCCATAAAACCTTAGAAAAATCAGTCTTGAGATATTTCTTGGCCCAGTCTTGACGTTTCAGCTTGTGTGTCTTGTTCAGTGGTGGTCGTCTTTCAGCCTTTCTTACCTTGGCCATGTCTCTGAGTATTGCACACCTTGTGCTTTTGGGCACTCCAGTGATGTTGCAGCTCTGAAATATGGCCAAACTGGTGGCAAGTGGCATCGTGGCAGCTGCACGCTTGACTTTTCTCAGTTCATGGGCAGTTATTTTGCGCCTTGGTTTTTCCACACGCTTCTTGCGACCCTGTTGACTATTTTGAATGAAACGCTTGATTGTTCGATGATCACGCTTCAGAAGCTTTGCAATTTTAAGAGTGCTGCATCCCTCTGCAAGATATCTCACTATTTTTGACTTTTCTGAGCCTGTCAAGTCCTTCTTTTGACCCATTTTGCCAAAGGAAAGGAAGTTGCCTAATAATTATGCACACCTGATATAGGGTGTTGATGTCATTAGACCACACCCCTTCTCATTACAGAGATGCACATCACCTAATATGCTTAATTGGTAGTAGGCTTTCGAGCCTATACAGCTTGGAGTAAGACAACATGCATAAAGAGGATGATGTGGTCAAAATACTCATTTGCCTAATAATTCTGCACTCCCTGTATATGAGATAGACCCATTACATGCAAAGCAAGATAGTTCAAGCCGTGATTTGTCATAAGTGCGATGATTATGGCTTACAGCTCATGAAAAGCCCAAATCCACAATCTCAGTAAATTTGAATATTACATGCAATCAATAAAACAAGGAGTGTACATAGAACAATATTGGACCTCTGAAAAGTAGAAGCATGCATATGGACTCAGTAATTGGTTTGGGCCCCTTTTGCAGCAAATACTGCCACAATGCAACGTGGCATGGAAGCTATCAGCCTGTGGCACTGCTGAGGTGTTATGGAAGACCAGGATGCTTAAATAGCGACCTTAAGCTCTTCTGCATTGTTCGGTCTCATATCTCATCTTTCTCTTGGCAAGGCCCCAAAGATTCTCTATGGGGTTCAGGTCAGGTGAGTTTGCTGGCCAATCAAGCACAGTAATCCCACGGTCATTGAACCAGGCTTTGGTGCTTTTGGCAGGTGCCAAGTCCTGCTGGAAAATGAAGTCAGCATCCCCATAAAGCTACTCTGCGGAAGGAAGCATAAGGTGCTCCAAAATCTCCTGGTAGACGGCTGTGTTGACCCTGGACTTTATGAAGCACAGTGGACCAACACCAGCAGCTGACATGGCCTCTAAATCAACACAGACTGTAGAAACTTTACACCGGACTTCAAGCATCTTGCAGTGTGTGCGCCTCTCCATTCTTCCTCCAGACTCTGGGTCCTTGGTTTCCAAATGAGATACAAAAGTTGCTCTCATCAGAAAAATGGACTTTGAACCACTGAGCAACAGACCAGGCCTGTTTTTCTTTAGCCCAGGTAAGACACTTCTGACGTGGTTTGTTGTTCAGGAGCGGCTTGACAAGAAGAATACATCTGAAGCCCGTGTCCAGGATCCGTCTGTGTGTGGTGGCTCTTGATGCACTGACTCCAGCCTCAGTCCACTCCTTGTGAAAGTCCAACACATTTGAATGGCCTTTTCCTGACAATCCTCTCCAGGCTGCGGTCATCCCTGCTGCTTGTGCACCTTTTATTAATGTGCTTTGATACAGCACTTTGGGAACATCCACCTTCCTTCGCAATTACCTTTTGAGGCTTTCCCTCCTTATGGAGGGTGTCAATGATGGTTTTCTGCACGACTGTCAGGTCAGCAGTCTTCCCCATGATTGTGATTCCTACTGAACCAGACTGAGAGACCATTTAAATGCTCAGAAACCCTTTGCAGGTGTTATGGTTTACTTAGCTGATTAGAGTGGGATACTGTGAGCCTAGAATATTGCACCTTTTCACAATATTCTAATTTACTGAGATTGTGGATTTGGGGTTTTCATGAGCTGTAAGCCATAATCATCACACTTAAAACAAATCACGGCTTGAACTATCTTGCTTTGCATGTAATGCGTCTATTTCATATATAACTTTCTCCTTTAACATTTCATTACTGAAATAAACGAACTTTTGCACGATATTCTAATTTTTGGAGTATCACCTGTATACTATATCCTGCTTACTAAGAAAAAGCAGTAAAGATTTTCTACAGCAAAGCCAATGAACTTCTTAATTGTTGTGAATACACACACACACACACACACCATACAAGATCCAGCGCACTTACTCAACAGCTACTTCACAGCTCACAGAATTTAAGTGCCAAAAAATATCACACACTCCTGAAACAGACAATTGAAATTATAGACAAAAATGCTAAAGCTTTGGCTGCAGATTAATTTATTCCTTCACTGATTTTTGCAAGTAAAACTAGCAAGCTAACTGGATTTAAAAAACGGATCTAGGATACCTGGTGATTGCTGAAGTAGCTTAGTATAGTGCAGCTTGAAATCAAATAGATTAGTCAATATTATTCCTGAGATCTAGGACATTTACAAGTGTAATACATTTTTATTTTTTATAAAATACAGTGTGGTGGCATTTTAATGAAGTTGAGAAATAAGATTGCCAGTCATGGGGAATAAAATACAAATACAAATTGCTTTATAGGTTTTCTAGCTTTTCAAAAAAAAAAAAAAAATCTAATCTACTTTTATTTTCCAAGTGATCCAACCTCTACAATTGTTCTTGTATAGCTCACAGCTATAGTCCTTAGTTGACATTTCACAACAGTTCTGTATTTACCCCTACTACATCTCTACAAGCAAAAATGTTACAACAGCAAACTTATAAAATTATAATTTATACATTTCTCTGCTCCCTCACCCATATTACATTAAAACTGATGTAATATGGATTAGAGTTACAGTGATTCTACTTTGTTTAACTTCCTGTAGCAAGCACTAGTCACTTTAAAAAGGAGATTTTTGACATATAAACAGAAAGAATGGCCGTGATTGAACAGGTGGCGTCACTGAATCACAGTAGTAGCATATGAATAGCAATTCTAGGAGCAAAATTGTAAAGATAGTAACAGTCGGTCTGAAATACCAACACAGCACCTGCTCATTTTATAAAACCTAAAATGGGATTTCTTTTAAAACATTTTAAAAGGTCTGTACACAAATAAAAAAAATAAAAAAAATTGCACTGCTTTAAACTAGAGTGCGCTTCTTGCTAAAGATTTGTTTTTACTTGCAAAGGAGTAGTTAATTGCATGTAGTTCATAAACTGGTTTGTGATTAACCTGTTTGGTGGAGGCTTGGGTTTGGGCATTTTGCTAAGGATAGCAGCCATTTCCTTCCGCTCATCAAAGTTCTTCCACTGTTCATAAAGCTTCAGAATAACTCTTATGATTTCCAAGATCTTTAAATAGGAACAGAAAAAAAAAAAAAAAAATATATATATATATATATATATATATATATATATATATACACCCATACATACATACATACACATACAATAAAATGGATTATATTTTCTGCATATATACAATACAAATGTTTTCTTTATTTACAAAAAAACCTTTATTAGGTCTGCTAGAGAGAGATTGAGTAGACCGCCTTGAGTTGTATTTTAGGGACACCATAGTCACCCAGACCACTTGATTTCATTGAAGTCGTCTGGGTGCAGTGTCCCAGTCTCACTTAGTCCTGCAATGTAAATCATTGCAATTTTTGAGAAACTGCAATTATTACATTGCAGGACTAAGACTGCCTCTCGTGCCTGTCAGACAGCCACTAGAGACACTGCCTGGTAGCTAACCAATTTTTGGTCTCCTAAGTGACGCTGGATGTCCTTACGCTCTGCATGAGGACATCCAGCGTCAGTAGAATCTATATAGGAAAGCATGGAAGCATTAGCACCACAGCAGGAGGGAGGGAGGCAGGAGAGGACCCGGGGAGCTCTTGCCAGCAGCCCTGTGGGGCTAGAGTTCACTCTCCACTGGACCACCAGGGATGGCAGGAGCACACTCCCCCTCCCCCCTACATAAGGTAAGAAGGGAGGGGGGATATTAAATAAACGGCCCCCCACCCCCACACATTACACACAAACAGCACACAGACACATACATCACCCTTAGGAGGTTATTCCTAGGACCATAACTATTACAGTGAGCTGTACTAAATATGGTGCTTGGAGTGTTTAGCCTTCATCAACACAATATTTGCCAGTCACCATCCTTCCCTTGATATGCTGGGATTCAAGACAATCACAGGCATAGGCATCCTTCGGAATTCCAAATGTTTTGGACTACACCTCCCATGATGCTTTGCCATGGTGGATGTAGTCCACAAGATCTGGAGCGCCAAAGGTTGCCTACCCCCTGCTCCATCATATAAATGCTACAGTAAAATAGTTTGTAAAGGAGTTCAGCAAATGCAACCAGTTACTATGGTGCAGTGGTATTAAAGTGAAATACATAGGAGAACACAGATCTATAGGAGGAACTACAGAAACTGTTAGAAATAAATACCTTTTCCATATCTACTGAAAGTTCAGCAAACCATTGCCGTGCATCCTTCTGTTGAACAACACATGCAACATGAAGACAAGCTAGAAAAGAACACACAAACATATATAAAACTTGGAGAACAATGATGTACAAGTCAATAGTTTGTGCATGTGTATCATGTTTACAGAACCTGGATTTCTATGAAATGATTTCAGATACATGAATGCTGATCTCATTGCAATGCAAGCATTTAGAGCAGCTATGTGATAATGCCTGCATAAACAATTTGCCTCATTTAAACTAGTAGTTTGTTGTCTGACAAATGTTCATGCAGTAAAACCAGAACAAAATTAGTTTTCGTATACCAAGTGCTGCTCTTGATAAATGCTAACATTTTAAACTGGTATTTTCTCAAGATAGGGTAGTCATAGTCTACTCAATCTAAATACAGAAATATATCACAAACTTACCTAGTGCAATCATAAAAGGAGGGTATAGAAGACAAAGATCTGTTCTGTATGTGTCATTTACTATTCTCCTGGGGGGGAGAAAAAGGGCATCATCATGCAGATCACAGCAATTTGTTTTGTGAAAGTGAGAACTTGTATTTCACTTAAATTTGACAGTTCTAAGGATGGTAGCTTTACAGTACTCTACAGTATTGTACACTTTCAGGATAAGAATAATGGACATATTGTGCAGTTAAACCACTTATAACTTGCATTTACCCTTTTCCATGAGATGAGGAAATTTGTTTAATTAAATTGGTAGTAAAAATATTTAAAGTGAACATATAATGGAAAATAAATTACTTACCTTAACTTGCTTCCATATACATTGAATACACCATATATTATAAAGATACATGGTGCATTCAATGTAAAAATAAAGATTGACTTACTTTTCCTCCATTCCAGCACCGCTTACTCTTTGTGTAACCTACCTCCTGTTAGTCCTCTGCCCTACCTCTGTTCTTCTTTGAAGCAACCCCAAGCAGGACAAATCTCGTCAGTGACGTTGGCACGCTGGCTACATTGCCAGCATCGGAACGAAGTGACCTCATGTCATTCCTATACTCCTTAGATGGTGCTTGTATGCCGAGGCATTGACTGACAGCTAGGGTAAAAACCTAATTTTAAAATATCTTTTTCTCCTAATCTATATATTTGCTAGCAAAACCGCTAACACAATGTATAGATAAATGCTTATGCTCAATCTAATGAGCATAAGTGGTTTGGGGCATGACAGGTGCCCTATAAAGCAATACCTCAAGCACCACAACCACTACAACTAGCTGGATGTGACTCCCTGTCAGAGGGACAGAAGTTCTAAAGCAGGAACTCCCATTAGCTCTCCTAAGCCAATTCCGGCTATGCAGAGAAAATTTCACATCTTAACTAGCTAAGCAGTCATGTTGACTCACTTTGTTGTTATCTGACCAACTCCTGCTCATTTTAACTTGTCTGTGATTGCTCTTTATGGAAACTGCTGGTCAGACAGCAGTGTATTGCCCAATATGGCTGCTCAGCCAGATTTAAAAGCAATATATAAATTAATAAATAAAAATGGGGGAGGAGGTACGACTAATTATATAGTGACATTTGATAACAGTTGTCTTTTAATCAAAGTGCATCTAGTTATGACATGACAAATATCCCTTTCACACAGGGTTTAATAATGGCAAATCCAACAGTATCTTAAGTAGCATAAATTAGATCACTGAGATTATAACTTTAGAGCAATCTAAATCAGGAAGACAGAGGCTAACATGCTGTGCTAATGGATCGATGCAGTAGGTTGGAGATGCACTTTGAGAAAGAGACACTAGCACGGTTTTTCACTCAAGTGAGAATTCAAAGTAAATTTCACATTTAAGGTCAAAATTGCCAAGTCAGACATGCTTTCAGTTTGGGCCTTAAATTTGAAATTCACTTTGAATACTCATTTTAGTAAATAACCCTGTTCTCGTCAGTTCTAGATTTTGTAAATACATCATACAAATCTTGTAACCAGACCTCAAACTAATCACTGGTAAAAAAATTACCATGCTAGTGGAAGCAGCATATCCTCCTGTCCCATGTCTTGTACATACTGGAGCAAGGGTCGATAAGGATGATACACTATCAAGCAACAATCCTGCATACAATTAGACAAAAGAAAAGTAAAACAATGAAATGTGATGCTGACTAGCCAAAGTCAGTCACTGAAACAAATGATGATCTTGCAGTCTAAATAGGAACACACAGTAGTAAGTAATTTTTTTTATAAAACAAAAATCAAAACGGGGGTACTTACATTTTATGCTAAAACTGCAAAAACATCAATTGACATATTCAATCTTAACAGCTCTGAGCTCCATCCATTAAGTTATACAGTGATATTTTTAACTATCAACCAGCAGACACCAAGTATGTTGTTAAACAGTTTGATTACTTACATTTGGGAAGGGGGGGGGGAGAGAGAGTGGCAGGAGAGGGGGGCCTCTAATCCGCACCACCACTGGATTAGAAGTAAGCAACAATTTTATTTTTGAGATTCAAAGAGCCCCAAAACTCAATTAAATAGAACTCACCAAGGTTACAAAATAAATGTATTTATATCTAATTCTGCAATAATTCTCTAACCTTGTCAGTGCTAGATAGTTTAGCAGTCTCTGTGCCATTCCAATAAGGATTTCCCTTTAGGCACTCCCATGTGTAACTTCACTCATGATGGAATGCAGGTTTCAGTAGTACAGGGATCTTCACACACAGGGAGAGAAAGGTGGTGGGGGGCATAGCACAGTTATCACAGCTAAATTTCCCCTGGTCAATGGACTTTTTACTATGTATTATAAACAGCAATCCCAAGACTAGTACTATTCCCTTAAAACACATTGTATATTGCATGGTGGATATCAAAAGAAAGGGTCTGCTGCAATTTGGTAACAAGCAGTCACCTTTTCTATGATCGAGACAATTTTGACTACTGCACGAGTCTTGTCTGGGCTTTTGAGGGATGGGGGGGGGGGGAATTAATAAATTCTAATTTGTGCGATTGCTTGTTTAACTCTATACACAAACATGTCTTCAAATAATCCGACCAAGAGAGAAAGGAATTTTGGTTTATAATCCAACAAGAAAGAAAGGAACTTTGGCTAATACGATTCATAACTCCCAGGACACTGATAAAAATGTATACATAGATTACCTACCATTAACTCTAACAAGTAGAATTCACATTCCAATATCTGCACAAAGAAAGCAAAAATAAATTAAATATTTGCACATGATATAGCTGCATAAAAATAACGCCAAACACTGAGGTTTATATTAAACTGGCTAATTTTGAAATGGTGGCATTACTAGAGCAACCTAGTGCAATTTCTTTAACAGCAAAAAACACAGCTATATCCAACATATTAATTTTTGTGCCAACAGCTTGTTACCATGGTGATAAAGAGATGTAGCTTTTAAACTGTGGTGGATTCACCTTAATTGTTAATTGTATTGAATTCATCATGCAGATTTTAGGCCAAAATAGTTGAATTTGGAAAACAAAATCCTCAGTCAGTTAAGTTGATGTTTTGCCCTTGGATATGAATTCTGAAATTTCACAGTAGTAAATCACTCTCAAAAATGTTTGGAATCAAAAGACATGGTAAAACTAGTAGAGGGAATAACACAAGGAAGGCCTTCAACGTGTAAAATTATAGACTTACAATGTTATTTACTACAGGGCAGAATTTAAAGTGAATTTCAAATGTAAGGTCAAAGTAGCTGATCTGGAAATAACTATGCTTCCAATTTGGCTACTGAACATTACATTTGAAATTCACTTGGAATTCCCACCTTTAGTAAATGATTCTTACAGACTTGTGTTATTTGAACTCTGTAGATTTAACATATTGCTTCCTGTTCACAAGTGTATATTTATTTTTCTCTTAAAGGCAGTTGCATACTAAAGGCCTTAAATTAAAACAAGGAGTGCAAGGATTTAGAGCGGGCACAGAGCAGATTTTTAGTTTTAGAAATTCATTGGTTTCTGATTAGCCCCCAAAAAGGTATACAGTTACAGCCAGCATACTACATGTAAAAACATCCCAGTAAGAAGATTTGATAAATTTTTTGCTGTTAGGAGATGAAAATGTCACTCCACTGTTGCAGCACCTATTTAGCTCCATTAAGTATAGCTCTGTTAACAGTCTCAAAATGACTGATGAAGCATAACAATGACCTTCAATGGCAAATACAATCGTCATTATGTGATTAAAAAAATAATAATAATCGCTCAATAGAAGGTAAATATGTTTGTGAAAAAGTAAATATGACAACTCTTTTGTAACATTAAACAGATACCCTAAGCACCAAAACAACAACTTACTGATCAACACTGCCATTTAGGAGTTCAATCAGTTTTGTTAGGGTTTATACAGCCCTAACCACACCTCCGCTGGCTGTGACTCACACATTCTACATGAAAATATAATTTAATTTTCATGTAACAGCACAGTGTTATCTCCTGCTCTGTTAATTAAACTCCAGTAATACACAGGAGGCTCCCACATGCTATTATCATTGCAGGAGATAAGAAATTCCCATAGGAAAGCATTGGGAGGCTATTGCGCATGCGCACTGCACCAATCAGCATCTTCTAAAAGATACATTGAATCAATGTTCAGCATCCTCTGAGCAGAGCGTGGAGACACTGAACGTCGGTGTTGCACAACCCAGGAAGCACCGCTAGTGGCTGTCTGAGTATTTACATTAAAAAGCCTGTAGGGACAGGCTGTAGACAACAGAACAACTACGTTAAGCTGTACTTGTTCTGGTGCCTAAAGTGTCCCTTTAGGCTGAAGTTGTTTTGGTGCATATAGTGTCCCTTTAACGTAAGAAGACTAATATTTTGTACTGGCAACATGTAGCTGTAACAGTGACTGCATGAAACTACAAGGGCTACAATGTGTTTTTTTTTTGCTTTTGTGTTTTATTTATTTTTTTCTATCAACTAGACTAATGCTTTTATAGTGTTCACTTACATGGTTCATCCTATAAGGGAACTCCTTTGGAAACGCATAGGAAAACCTAGTCTTTACTAGAAAGTGGGGGAGAAAAAAAAAGAGAGAAAGAAAGAAAGAAAAAAAAAGAAAAAATTTTAACAGCACATTAGGTTTACCATGACAGTACATATCACAAAGCCATACTATGCAGTAAAAGTGAAAACCATGCTTGAACTACAAAAGTAAAATGATATCACAACACATGGTTGATCCTTCAGTGCTTATGCCTATTTAAGCAAGTATAACCAATACTTACATACAGATGTAGCAGCAGATATTAACCTTGTGTTGGACACAACACCAAACTCCTGAAAAGCAGAAAATGGAAACACAGATTTACAATCCTGACCTTCTGCTGTATATTTGATTTGATATATTAATATAATAAAACCAGAGAAAAATAGGTAGCAAGAGAGGTGAGAACGGGCAACAACTCAATTAGCCTGCCCTTTGGTGGGTCCCCGCTCAGATCAGATGTGCCATTACAGATAGAACATCTCTGAAGCATTTCAGACTGGTCCCACCCATACGGGCAGATATAGCAATATAATAAAACCATTTTTAAAATCGGAGAATGTTTTCTTTTTTTCAAGAATATTCAACTAGTTAACCACTAAGACACTGTATATCATATGTAAAGACTGTGAGAGAGATTGATACACACCTTAAACAAAACATTTATTTGACAATTGTCACTTAACTCATTTACCTTACCACATCTACATACAGTCTGCATTAAGGTATACAAAAATATTGCACTCCTTCAAATCCAGGGTAACCATTTCAGCCCTTAAGATTTCAAACATTGAAGGGGTATACATTTCAAAGTGCCCAAAAGACTCTGTAGCACTTTACAATATTATAAGATGGGGTATTTAACTATGACTTGGACAATTACAAAATATAAAAAACACTTACAGGAATGACAGGTTGAAGAGAACCCTGCTCAAACGAGCTTACAGTCTGTGGGATTAGTTCAGTATGTAGGGGATATTTATTTATGCTGGATGCAGTTTTTATGTGTCTATATTCGATTATAGAATATAGACTGTAATAGGTTGAATGCACTCCATAATTATAATAAATAAATACAAATAATAGTTATAATACTCAACATTGAATATGGCAATTAAAATTGGTTTGGCTTGGTTTGGCTAGGTTTCAAGTATGCTAATGAAGTCATGACTGGGAAATTTATCTCTTACTAATGAGTGCCTTGATCCAAAGAGGGTTGGAAACCACTAGTCTACACTACTCAGGTTCTTTCCCTGACTTGCTACAACTATGTGCCACTATTTATACCTCATTTATTTAAAAAACCATTATGTTTGACGTACCTCTACTTTAGATGCCAAAAACACACATGTAGGTGCCATTAATACTGGATCTATACTTTTTAATGAATATCTGGGGGAAAAGAAAGAGGGGAAGAAAAAAGCATAGATTCTTTAAAATTAAACCAATAAGTACGCATAATTAAAGGCAGTGAGCTAATCAAACATACTGATGTGTTTTAATAAATTCCCTTATACAGAATGTAATTTCCATAACACAAACAGAATATCAGAGAGAGAAGAAAAACAACTCTCTGTACTTCTGTTATTGGTTAAAGTGAACCTTACGCACTCCATTTACCATAATGATAAATATTTTACTTGACTTGCAAAGTGTTCAATACAAAAGTAGATTTCTTAAAGTGATCAGCTCTAAAATGTGATGTTAAAGTGTAAAAGGGAAGGACTCAAACAGATTGTGCCTGCTGGTTCCACTGGTCTCCATTGCAATTGCCCCACCTTCAGTACCTTCGACTACAACCATTATGAAATATCCCCCAATGTTTCATTTTCTCACACAGTCACATTAATTCTTCAATATAGTAGATAAGTAAATATATAACGGTATATGAGAAATCACAGTTCTTCTTTAAATAGTATAATAGAACAAAGAAAAAAAAAAAAAAAAACACACCACAACTTCAACATTTCAAACATCTGTTTCTGCTGTAGATACAGACATTTAATTATGTATCACCTCTCCAACAGTTTTTGCCATCAGGCACCACAGGTGTTACACCAATATAGCACCCAACACCACCCCTTCGAACATATATAGCTCTGCGAGGGAACCTTCTCCAAGGACACTGAATGCCAAGAGTTCAGTGACAGGTGAAGGTAGGTACCATATGTTTACACCTATACATTGGCTAGCATGTCTGCATTTTCTAACAAAATAAATGTTCACAGGAAGTGCTCTGCTGCAATGCATTTTAACACATAGTAAAACAATTCAACAACTCACCTTGCATAAAATCGTTTAAAGTAAACTGTGGCAGTGGCAATAACTTGTTGTCTTAATTTAAGGTGCTCTCCTAATGCTTGGATGACTAAAAAAAAAAAGTGCAATTAGATGTTTGATAAAAAAAAAAAAAGTAGCAATGTTGAAACTCAAATAGAATAATGGAAAGAATAGTATTAGGTGTGATGCAACACAGAATATGTTGAAACACTAACATGAAAACTACATATGTTTACATCGTTCTGCCTGAGATGAAGAGAAATAAAGGGACATTCAAGTGAGTACTGCTACTATTTTACCACTCAAAACATAAAAGTCAGCATAATGCTATATTGGTTATTTCCATTGAGACAAAGCTCAGGAGACCTCTATGATGTTGAATCTGTACTCAAATGAAACCAAAGAACAAAAGTGTAAGGGGTGGATACTATTACTACAGTAAAATAGTGACAGAAAAGTAAAAAGCTCCAAATATGAACTGAGTTTATCTGCCATTGTCTTCTGTCATTAGAATTATAGAAAGTGATTCATAAACTATACAGAACACCCTATTTTAGAATATATCAGTTCAATAACTTGTTGCCCAGTAGATTTTGAGGTGTAATCTGTGTGTCCACTTCTGTATTATAGAGTACACTATACACACACAGACAGACAGATCAGAATAAATTCAGCCTCCCAAAAGGAATTACCATTTGTAAAAAATATCTGCAGTTTCCAGTACTCTTCTTCTGACAGGAATTTCAAGTCCTTTTGGCGTTCTTTCAACAAATCTTGTTTATCCAAAATCCATTGTAAACTAATTGGAAAAAAATAAATAAATAAAAAGTTTGAATACAGCAAAAGTATTTGATGGCAACCATAATCAATTGTAAAGCAAGCAAGTAAATGGTAATACAATGTGTCTAGTTTTTCGAAATACAGAATAAAAATCCAAACTATAAATGCTCAGACAAAATAGTGAGTATGATCAGGAATGGACTAAAATTGGAAAGAAATACAATGAGTTCATACATACATACATATATATATATATATATATCTCAAATAAAGCAGGAGTCTAACCTACAAGACAGTCTAAACAAAAGATGAGCAAAATGTGGTTCTCAGAAACACTGACAATGCATTAAATGTTAGTGTGTGTGTGAAAATAGAACTGTATTTGTGTAGATTGTCATGATTTAGATGTATGTGCGGGCTATTCTCACGATCACTGGCAGCAATTCTGTTTGACATTACACAGTTCAGGATTTCAAACACAGGAAACCGGAATATGTGGTTAAGTATTACTTTGACTCTAAAAAAGCAATATGAGAGACAAAATACCTGACTGTTCAATAGCCCTCATAAAGACATAAGAGCAGCCAAATGCTTCTTTTCTTACAATGCAGCAGAGAACAAACATCAGCCTGCAGCTACTGCGGGCACACTGCCTAAAACAATTACTTGTCTTGCCTCTTGGTTACAGGGCAGGGGGACAGTAAGTACACTGTAAAAGAACATGTGTTGTATTTTATTTTTATTCACTTTTTATTAAAATTTGCAATATGCAATAGAGGGATACAGAAGTTAAAAGAGGGGGTATGGAGCACAAGTCAAATCTAACATTCAGCATACAATGTACATTCAAAACAAGTATGCTCTTACCCATCAAATAGGGTAGGAAGGGCACAGAAATAAGAAAGGAAGGGGAGGGGAATCTGGTTGTGTTGTATTTTATTACTTAATAGTACACATTCGAACATCAACAAAATGTCTCACAAATAATTTTCAGAACTAAATAATTGAAAGGAGATATAGATATTATAATAATTGTTCTAACATGCTGTAAAGGGTACACAAATAAAATAAGCTGTAACGCATTATTAGAGCATGTAAGCTCATTGAGCAAGGCCCTTAACCCTTCTGTCACTGTGCCAACAAATTCCGCAGTGCTATACAATGGGTGAACGAATAAATGCTTAATTGTAACCAGACAAGTTGGACGCACAGGAACAGAAGGGATGAGGGCCTTGCTCAATTTATTTATGGCATTTATTAAGAGCCAACATAACCAACAGCGCTGTACAATTGGGAGAACAATACAATATAAACAGACCGATACAAAAGGCAGATGGCCCTGCCCATGAGAGTTTAGATTGTAAGCTCACGGGCAATGCCATCTACCTTTTGTATTGGCCTGTTTATATTGTATTGTTCTCCCAACTGTACAGCGCTGTTAGCGCTTTATAAATGCCAGTAATAAATAAATAAATTGAGCAAGGCCTTCAACACTATCCTTACCTTTTTGTGTCATTTTACCCTACTCCCTCTAGCATGAAAGCTCATTGAGCAGGGCCCTCAACCCCTCTGTTCCTGGGTGTCCAACTTGTCTGGTTACAACTACATGTCTGTTCGTCCACCCATTGTAAAGCGCTGCAGAATTTGATGGCGCTTTATAAATAACATAACAACAACAACAACACTTCTGTTTCTGTGCGTCCAACTTGTCTGGTTACAATTAAGCATTTGTTTGTCCACCCACTGTACAGCTCTGCGTAATTTGTTGGCGCTTTATAAATAATAGTAAATGTACAGCAGTTAAAATGTTTTTTGCAATTTATTTTTGTGTATGGCTATAATAATGCTCCTTTAACATACTTTTTTTTTCCCCCTTTGAATAAACCGATTTGACACGCACGCACAAAAAGTCCTTACAAAAATATTTCATACTATACAGACATTATGAATACACACACACACACACACATTCCCTCCCCCACCCCTTTCTCCATTACACAGTTAACATGTAGTTACATGCTGACTTGTGTTGGTATTTTCTATACTACTCAATGCAGAGTTAACATTTCCAAAGGGTTTGAATTCTGTATTTAAAGGGACATGGCTGTGGTTTCCAGCCATTGTTACCCTTAAGAAGGGGGTTGGTCTCACCTTACAGCACAGGTCAAGCACTGCGCCTATTCTGGGTGCTATGGGAAGACCCCATACAGCGCTCTATCACTCTATCCCTCCCAGCCTTACTATTAATAATAATAATATTACTTACTAGTGTGAGCTTTGCCAGAAATTACCCGCCATCAATACAGCTGCAGCAGCACCGTAAATGGGGCAGTGACGTAAGCAACAACGTCACGAGAAGTTCCAGACTTGGGTATTATTTAGACTACTGTGAAAAGGAAGAGAGCCGGCGTACGCCCTGAAATAGCGCCGATAGGGAAACAAGGCAGACCCGGAACTAATGTTCTTTATCCAGTGGCTTACTTAGTTGTAGTGTCTGGACGTAATAGTTTTGGTCTATTTATTTATGTTAATAGATTAGCTGTGGATTTTTGCGATTGTCTATGTAGCCTATATCAGTTTTTATACTTTCTTTGACTTAATGCAGCCAAAAAAAAAATACAGTTAAGCCAAAGTGGTTTGAATAAAAGAAACCCCTGGGTTAAGTAGTTCCAATACATGTTTAGCTCTCTTGAGTATGTTTGCAGCTAACTGTTCCAGCATTGTCTGTTCATGGATAATTGTTATTTCAGGGGTAAACTTCTAATAGCATTCCTTCCAAGTGTCCCTATTCACTCGAGGCAGTCACTATTTTTTAGATGAAATTCCTTATTCGCTCTTTTCTATCCTAATGTACCAGAGCCCTGCAGCAATAATGCTCACAGTAATGTGTCTTTAAACTGCAATTAGAAATCGGTATGCATAAATAATATACACTCTTGTTCTAAACTATTTTAGTAGAATGTTATTGGTGTAGCCTCTTTTATCTCCAACCTGGGCAGTAGCCTTGGGAACTTAGGGACTACTACATCGGCTGGAACAGGCCAGGAGTCCTGAGCCTCCGCAGATGTATTGGGAGAATGGGACATATTGAAATTAAAAAGTGCCCTCACCCAGTGATCAACATCAACTGATATACACCTTGCTAACACTGGAACAAGGACGACTCAGAAGCTGGAATTAAACCAACAGAACTTTACTTGCAACTTGGTAGAATAATAATGGTGATTCAACATCCACTGGTGAGAGTACCACTCCCAGATAATACAGCACCCTATATCCCTTCACCCCAGATAACACAGCACCTTATATCCCCCCCCACTCCAGATAATATAGCACCCTATATCCCCCACCCCAGAAAGTCCAGCATGTCCCCTGACTCTGTGGCTGTCTGACTGGATGAGATTAAATGTTGCTGCTTGTGTTCTGCTTCCTCTCTGTCTCTTTCACCTCAAAAACCCCTGCCAAAAAAAGGGGCAGAGCTCCTTGCATACAAATGGGATAGGGATACTTGGGAGAGGAAGGTGTGGGACTATTTGTAAAATGGAGGAGCTGTTTCAGGGGAGCCATCTGGCTGCATCCTCCCCCTTATAAAACCGATTCTCTAATCCGAGATCAATAGAACTGGTCTTGAACTAACCTGTAAGTCTTGTCAACATTGATGGGACCATGGTAGTCATGCAGTGACATTACAGTGAGAGGACAACTTATAGCGAGGTGGTCATGATACTGAATAAATCTATATAGGAGCCCACCTGCAATCTGAATCTACTCCATTCCTGCCAGAACAATCTCTGGATTTTGGGGGGCAATGCCTTTAGTAATTATGAGTTCCTTGCCTTCACAGCCTTTACCAGGGATCCTACCGTCGGGTCTTGAAGCTGGGCTTGCTGTTTCTCAGAATGTTTAATCATAGACCGCTGAGGCAGATGAATTGGGTAACTTTGAGTGTTGGGTCTAGTCTCTGAGGTACAACCCATGGAGTCTACGTAGTTTGAGAAATTTACAGTGTTGGTCTCATCTACTGCTGTAGTCTGACTTGAAATTTCTTTACACTCATCAACTTTAGAAACTGGAGATAGCCCAGACCTTCTACATAAGGCATCTGCATCCACATTTATGGGTCCCAGCTTATACTTCAGGGAGAAATTGTAATTAGACAAAGCAGGGAGCCATCTATGTCCTATGGAATCTAGTTTGTTCATCGTCAAAATGTATGTGAGGGGATTATTGTCAGTTCTCACCTCAAATTGTACCCCATAGAGGTAATCATGTAGCTTGTCAACTATCGTCCATTCTCATGCCAAAAACTCCAACTTATGAACTGGATAATTTCTTTCACTTGTCATTAGACTTAGACTGATATATGCCATAGGCCTTAAGCCTTCTGAATACTCTTGGTGAAAAGCTCCACCCAGACTGCCCATACTGGCATCTATCTAAAGGATGTACTTCTGTTCTGGGTCAGTATAAGCCAAAATTGGAGCCTCTTTTTTTTTTAGAGACAGAAAAGCCTCTTCACACATGGGTGTCCATGTCTAACCGAAAGGGTTTTCTCTTCTGGGCTATGGTTTAATTTCAGGAGGTCATGCTTGCTTCAAGCAATCTTACAGTAACCCCCTACGAATAAATACCCACAGAACCCAATAAAAAAGAATAATTTCTCAACATTAATTGGTCGAGGCCAGTAAACTACAAACTCAATCTTGACTGGGTCTTGGGTATACCTTCTGGAGAAGCAATGTGCCACACATAAGTGACTGAACTTTGGGCAAACTTGCATTTGTCTGATGATAGCTTGAGTCCTTTATCTTTCAGCCTATGTAATACCTTTATCAGTCTCTCTTCATGTTCTGCAGGAGGTTTCCAAACACAATAAGGCCATTGAGGTAAACTAGGCAGGCTGCAGGTGATAAGCCTCCCAACACCTTCTCCACGAGTCTCTGAAAGGTGGCTGGTGCCCCCGTGACACCTTGGGGTAGCCGAGTAAACTAAAAAAAACACTGTCTTTTCTGCTTTGTGGGAACTTGATATAGCCAGATCTTAAACCAGTGACTCCCTGTCAGAGCATTTAGACCTTCCATCCTGGGTAAAGTATATTGGTCAGGCACAGTTTTTAGAAGGTAACAGACTTTTTTCACATCCAGCTGAGGAAGCCTTCACGGCGAAACGCGTCCTGGGAATATTGTGAGCAAAAAGACTTTTGAATTACCGGACTTTTTATGCCATTATAGTGTTTTTTATATATATATATTTTATATTTATATTGTACTTATATTGTATATATAGTCAATAAAGTTTACATTTTTGATATACACTATTGGCATTTTCCTGCTATTCACAAAGAAGGAGTGTGGTCCTTAATCCACATAAGCTATTGGATCAGAGCCGATGTGGATGGCTCTGGGTTTGTAAGTACCCTATTTCCCTTACTATAATATATACATCTAGCTTACGTTATTGCACCAGAGGTATTTTCCCTTATACATTCCAGAATACAAGAAAGGAAGAGTTAAAAGAAGGGATAAGAGTCGCCTCTACGGACTCTGAAAGTGCTTCAATTGAGCTATACCCCTCTAGCTCCTAAAAGTGTGAGTGGGCCCTTTGTATATTTCTACCACATCTATCATCATTACAGATTTGCACTATGTTTGGATTTTTCTGTTTATGTTTTTAGGGAAGTCCTATAAAGGATTATTGTGAATTATATAAACAGAAGGTACATTTTCATCTTTCTGGTGTTTATCACTTGGTATTATCTCTCCACTTTGGTTATCCATTTATATAGCGCTTCACCCATACACCGGTTTCACTTCATTTTTGAAAGATAAGATTGGGGTGTTACAGCAGCTGAAAATTAGTGGAATTCTTTATATAATTGCATCATACTTTATCTACATATCAGCGCTGGTACTTTACCTGTTTTCTAGGCACAGTTTTTATGTTCAAGGCCCTGTAATTGATGCACAGTCTCACAGAACCACTTTTTTTCTACGTACCACAATAGGTGAAGCATATGGACTTCGGGACTCCTTAATAATCCCAACCACTTATATCTCCTGTAAGATGTTCCATACATTCTTGGGGGGCTAGCATACATGATCTTTCTCCTAACAGATTTTAGTAGATGATTCATTCCATTAATCCAGAAGTTCAGAACCTCCCAAGTTAAAGTTCAACTCTTCAGGGGCTGTTGTTTCAGCCTGTAGGCTGGTGTAAGTGGTAACAGTTTCTAGAGGATAAACTACTCATTCGAAGCAACTACCACTGGTCAGGTGTTACATTCTGTATTAATACAGTGATCTTCTTCCTATGACAGTCCAACCTCTGACATGGTCCTGCTCAGGAAGAGACTCTACAGAGACCTGTGATTCCCCCTTTAATAGATGAATAGTCAGAGAGCCATTGACTCGAAGTCTTCTGGTCTCTCCAGGAGCAAGAAATATAGCTCCTCCCCCTGGTAATATATAAAAGGAGTTTGGTTGAGCTTTAAAGGACAATCTGTGGCATTCTTTCTTTAAGACATGGGGTAATTCCACCAAAAGGGCTGATGAAGCTTCTCCAACCTCTTTCAGGTAACTCTGGAACACTTCACGCATCATGTGTGTTAGTGTTCAAAATATTAGGGGAAGATGGTATACCTTTGTCACAGCAGACCAGTGCTTCAATTTCCATGCGGTGAATTTTCCCAATGTTCAACTGAGGAATTATGACTAGCCCTGGGATCACTCTTTCCACAGGGTATTCACTAATGCAAGGGGCCCCAAAGCTTAACCTAAACAGCTGGTAGTATCTGTACATGTTTGTGGTGTGTCTCATAGAAGGAGCAGAATATAATAGTCACTTGGGATCCTGTCACTTGTAAAGCTGTTGTGGGCACCTTCTACTATGACAGTCATTATAGATCATGGGTCTATCCTTGGATTCTCAAAGGACAATGATGGATACTCAGGTTTAGTAAATGTTTTCTTACCCTTCCGAGATCTATGTTGTTGCTCCTCTTCCTCAGGCTCTGAGGTGCTGATAGGCAAATGTATCACGAGCATCTCTACTGCCATGGTGTCACTTTCATTTGGGTAATTTTTTCTGTAATGCCTCGGCTGTTTGCATCGATAAGCAAATAAAATCTCGTCTTCCTTTTGGATAGTATTATAATATTTCTTTCTTAGCAAAAACTTATTTTTCTCCCCAGCAAAAACTGTATTTAACAGCTGAAGATTTTCCTCAGTGGTAGCCTTGGGGGATGTGACCTGATGATATCTCACAAAGTCTAATGCAGGTGGTCTCAAACCTTCTAGTATCTGTCTTTTTTTTCGTCTCTTCTGTGCATTTTAATAGTAGGTGTATTTTAACAGGGAGTGACAGAATAACCCCCCAAAAATCCAGAAAAATGCATGTCAAAAAAGTTATAAATTTATTTGCATGTCAAAGAGTGAAATAAATATT